GTGGTTTTGTTAGTGTGGTATTCAATGTATTTGTGTACATGTTTTAAAAGGTGAAATCCTTTGGTGTATTTGGTGTGTGAAGTGAGGATAATTATACTAAAAAGAAGGTTTTGTCTTCATGTTTTAGTGTTTTTTGTAGCATGTTTGTGTGCTTGTCTCCATATTTTCGTATTTTCTATTCTGTGTTTCTTTGTTTTCATATTCGATTTTTTCAAAAATATCTTATGTCATGGCATAGAGATGACTTTGACTCGCTGGGTCGATTCGAAACACACAATCTCAAAAAAATTCTCACTACAAGCAAAATCCATGGATGATTTCTTGTAACAAGCAAATGGTAAATGGTGTTACATCAAATTTTAATTTGTCCCATACTTTTGGATATCAATATGTTGAAAAAGAATATAATAATTATTTTCGGATCAATTAATTGTTAATACCGAATTCCTCATTTGTATCGAATGATTCTTCCATGAACTCCATGCTTTGGATTTAATATCGAATTCTACAAATTTTGATGAGATTATAGTTTAGAAAGAGTTTTTCCTTGTAAAATTAAGGTACACAATAAATATGTAACAATGCTGAATATCAATTAAGCCGTTGCGTTCATATCCGGGCCAAGGATTCGATGTTGATATATGTTAACTACATTGCTTCCATCCAATCACACCAAAGAAGATTTGGTTACCATAATTAAAAACATCATTCTTTAAATTTCATAGATTGTTGAACATGACATTGGAGATCTTGAAAATGCAATGTTATTGTTGAATACAATAAATTTTACTGTTGAGTTGTAATGCCCCTCTAGTTGGAAAAGCAATTTATTGTTGTTACTAAAGAGACATTTCGATTCTTCTTATCTTGATTAATTTAATTTGAATAAATTTGGAAAATTTAAAGTATATCATTTCAATGCATATCTGTTGCTGCGCCGCAGAAAATCGATGATATCTTCGACAACACATGCTCACATCTGCCGTAACTTCAAATTTATTTATTCGTAGGTCTCGATCGATATTGTTTGGCCTTACATTAATAAAATTGGGGTTTAGTGGGTATTAATAAAATATAAAATATAAGAGAGGTTTCATTTGGCTTAAAGGCTAGGGGGTTAGACATAATAATGTCATTTATGTTAGGATTAAATCGGTAGTTTTAAAATAGTGTGGTATTCAATGTATTTGTGTACATGTTTTAAAAGGTAAAATTTGTTGGTATATTTTTTTAATAAGTGAGTATCTGGAAAACCCTAAACCCGAAACTCTTTAAGTGCGCTCTGGGTAAACTCTCGACTAAATCTAATAGCTTACAAACTAAGTTCGACAAGTAAGTCACACTAAGAAAACCATATATGGCACGCAAGACCAGAGGTGTCATAGGTATTTGTGTGTGTGAAGTGAGGATTATTATAGTAAAAACAAGGGTTTTGTCTCCATATTTTAGGTTGTGTTCTTTTGTGATTTTTACAGTAGGTTTTTACGTATTATTCAGATTTTTTTTTTTCCTCAAAGAAATATCAAATCAAACAATTACTTTTCTTTCTTTATGTAATACTACAAATTTATTTTACATTCAAAATATCACATCAATCTCTATTTATATCACATCAAACAACTATTCAAATTCAACTTTTTACTATTAAAAAATCCAAACCCAAAAAAACTCAACCTAGAAACAAACAACCTCAAAAATATCAAATCAAACAATTATTTTTTATTACGTGTTTGTAGTGTGTTTGTCTTCATATTTTAGTGTTTACTATTATCTGTTTGTTTGTCTTTATATCCGATTTTTTCTAAAATATCTTATATATGTCACGGCATAGCGATGACATTGACTCGTTGGGCAAATTTGAAACACACAACCTCAAAAAAATTCTCACTACAAGCAAAATCTATGGATGATTTCGTGTAACAAGCAACTGGTAAATGGTGTTAAATCACGTTTTAATTTGTCCCATGCATTTGGAAATCAATATGTTAAAAAAATTAATGTTATAGTTATTTTCGGATCAATTAATTGTTAATGCCGAATTCTTCAATTAATTGAACGATTCTTCCATGAACTTCATGCTTTAGATTTAACATCGAATTCTATAAATTTTGGTGAGATTATAGTTTAGAAAGAGATTTTCCTTGTAAAATTAAGCTACACGATAAATATGTAATTGCCTATGTTGTACGGAACAGATCCAATTGTGGGATATGGTTTAACAGTGCTGAACCGGGCAAAGGATTTGATATTGATATATTTTATCTAAATTGCTTCCATCTAATCACACAAAAGATGATTTGGTTACCATAATTAAAAAGATCATTCTCTAAATTTCATAGATTGCTGAATATGACATTGGATATCTTGAATATACAATATTACTGTTGAATATAATAAATTCACTTTGGTTTCCGTGTTTACGGAATTAAATAGTATGATTTTGATTTGATCCGGTTAACACAAATCAATAAGGCAAAAAATATATTGATATGCCTTAAATTAAATTTGTTACTTCATTGAGTTGCTGCCCAGTCAGCGAGTCGGGGGGTCAAGCGGGACGAATCCCCTTTGCTTGGGGTCCGGGGATACAAAGTGGCCCCCGGCCGATGGTATGCAGTATTGGGCTTTGGAGTTGGTATTGGGATGAGCCTATCTCATATATTCTGTTGGTTTATTTAAATAGACTCAGGGATACAAAATCTGTAATATGTAACATTACCGTAGTGAATGAAATTTGTTCTCCCTTTTTGCACGTGGATGTAGCCAACATGTTGCTGGTGAACCACATAAATCTGTGTTTTCTTTATGTTTTATGTTTGTTATTCGATAATCAACCCTAATCCATCACAACAAAGTGGTATCAGAGCCTGGTCATTTCGATCAGGGTTTGTTTATTTCCGCACTGTTAGGGTTTTGTGAGTCGATCAACAATGTCTGTTTTCAATGTAACGGTTGACAGATTTACCGAGAGAAATAATTTTGGCTTATGGCAGATCAAGATGCGATCTTTGCTAAAGCAGCAGAGTTTGTGGCATCGCTATCTGAAAACTGAGAGGTGCAAACGTAGATGATGAAGAGTGGGATACCGCAGAGGAGAAGGCCCACTCGACAATTATGATGTGTTTGTCCGATGATGTAATCATCGAAGTTGCGGTCAGGAAACTATTGTTGGTCTCTGGAAGAAGTTGGAGAGTTTGTACATTATGAAATATCTAACCAATGAGTTGCTTTTGAAGCAACGTTTGTTTAGGCTACGAATGCAAGAAGGAACTGCTAATATGTTCACCAAATCGGTCCCTCATAGCAAGTTTCGATATTGTTTGGACTTTCTAGAGGTCACAAGCTGGTAGTTGCCCGAGGGAGAGGAAATCGAAGGTAAAATGAAGGAGTTTGTTCATCTGGCATTATAATGATGCATCTGAAAGTGAGATTAAGTCAAGTTAGAGATTTATTGATATGCTTTGAAGTTAGTTTGTCATTTGTTCATCTAGTATTGTAATGATGCATCTGGAGTGAAATTCAAGTCAAGAGCCAGATTTGTTGATATGTCTTGAATCTTGAATCTAGGGATATAGTCTAGATATTAGATATTATATCCTAAATTTAGATATATGATTTGTATATTATTGGCGTAGGTTTATACTATAAATAGACATGTATTCTCATTCTAACAAGCGGTCAAGCGGCTCAAATCTATAACATGTGACCTAGCCGTCCTAACTGAAATTTGTTCTCCGTTTCTACCCGTGAATGTAGGCAACACGTGGTTGGTGAACCACGTAAATCTGTTTCTTCTTTATATTTTTTGTCTGTTATTCGATCATCAACCCTAAACTTTCACAACAAAATTTATATTTCACATCACATCGTAATACAATATGAGTGGTTTGGTTCACTTCCTCCCCTGGCCAGGAACGAACCTGTCCAATATGTGACATGGAGATAAGCACAAGCTAGCCAATAGAACGAAGAAAAACTGCTAACTATGTTGCCTAAGCTGAAACTAAAGCTACGTATTTATTCGACGCAAGGGCAATTCACATAGTGCCTGGCTTTGTTTGTTTTTTCTTCCGTCTTTCTTAGACGGATTGGGAACTATCCAAACTAGGCTTTAAAGAGTGACTTTGGTACCTTCCAATAAAGCTGCCCTTCAGGAAAGCATATATATGGGAAAAGGTAAGGGGCTTTACTTCTAAGAATAAACACAATAGCACATTATATTACCGAGCTCAACCCAATAAACATATATATACAATACAACACAATACAAATTCTACAATACATACATCTAAAGAATAAATGGTTATGTTGGTTTATTTCACAACATGATTTGACCAAGTCAGTATTAAAACCGTTGTTTAATAAATTTTACTGTTGAGTTGTAATGGTTTTTGTTTGAAATGCAATTTGTTGTTACAAAAGACATATTTGGATTCTTCTAATCTTGATTCAGTGAATTTGAATAAATTTGGAAAGTTTAAATTATATCATTTAAATGCATTTTTGTTGTTGTGCCGCAGAAAATCGATGATGTCTTCTAGAACACCATGCTCATATCTGTCCTAACTTCAAATTTATGTATACATTGGTCTCAATCGAAATTGTTTGGCCTTTTTACTCTCTTGAAAATGGTTATAAACATATACACATGATTTAAAAGGTTACTTTATGGGTATTTGTTCATTCTTATATCGGTACTTTGTAATGTACAATAAAATACTTTGTAATGTTCAATAAAATGATAGTTAATGGTACTTTTGTTTAAAAAGATTTCTCCTTTGTGTTTTCTTAATGCAAATATGTATATAATACTGAAGGTATTTATAATATAAAGTATGGTTAAATTTACCAAAATACAGGAATGCAAATCAATAAATTTAGGCACAAGGATGAATTTAGAGACAATACATCTTCTCACTTGCCTATATATATATATATATATATATAGCTACAATATCTCTTCTCACTTGCCTACAAATAAAATAAAATTTATCATGGCTATTTTCAATCCATATTTATTTGAATCATATAACAAGAATGCTTTAAAAGACTATGGGGTGGACAAGGAGATCAGCCATCTGTGGAGCCATACCCTTCTCAGGACATGTATAACCATCTTCTGAGTTCTTATAAAAAATCTCCGTTGCTCGAGCAAAGTTGAGAAGAAAAATAGCGACCTCGGGAGGAACATAAGAAGGCAAGTTACACAACTCTGAATTAATTTCCTTCCATGAATCTTCGACAATTTCAGCAAATTTAGCCAATGCTTCTTGCTTTGTTACGCCGTGTAACTTCATGTACATGGTGACCGCCGTGAGCATTTGCCCTTCCCGGCCCTCGCGCTTTAAATATATGAAGCTCATTAGAGGATTAATCAAGTGGATAAAACATATACTACCTTCGTCCGGCTATAAGGGTCTCATTTACTTTTTGCGTATTGATCTTTGAATATTAATTATTATATCAAAACATAGTACAAATTAAAAAAAAAAATTGCAAAAATACTTTCATCTTATAATACTAATAGAAGGACATTTGAACAAAAAATTATACAAATATTAGAATATTTTTAATGTTAAGTATAATGACGCAAAAGGTAAATGTGACCCTTAGAGGCGGACGGAGGGAATATATAATATACATTAGGTAGATAACAAAGTCTGAAAGAATATTGATGTTAAGGCTTACTTGATGCGAGCCCAAGTCATCTAGAAATCGACCAATCCTAGCGGCTGCCAGGACAAATTTAGGCCTATTGTGTAGCCAGTGAAAGACTTCATCTGTTGCAGATTTCATCCCTAATAAAGCCGGCGTGGAAAGTAAATATACCGTGCTGGTAATAATGATATTGTCATTGTAGGCTTCGAGTGTGGGCATTTTTATCCCTAGAAACCACTTGAGCTCGTTGTTATAACCTAGACTCAGTTCTTGTATCTGTGCATTGTAAGGTATAACATTTTTAGAACCATTCAATGATTTCGAAAAGAACATATGAAAAAAAAAAAAAAAAAAAAAGGTTCTAATCAATCTCAATATATTCATTGGAATCATCACTTTGAGGGCAAGAAACAATTGAATCTCTAACGATTAGTTCTTACCACTTCTCTAACATAGGGAGCTGCAAATGATCTTCCTCGTTTTGATGCCTCACATACTAAGTCTTCATATGTACTCAAAATGAATTTATAGACAACTTTCATGTAGTCCGGAAGTCGATCAATTTCATCAATATCCCACCTTTGAGAGGATAGAGAGAGATAGAGCAATGTTCATGTTCCTTGAATATACTAAAATCTATTTTTCTTCAATACTTAATTTAAATGATAATAAGCCATTAATGAATCATCCACATACCTTTGCAAACTCTTGGTAAAGGCTTCAGCTTCTTCGACAGTTGCATAGTTATCGTACATATCATCCAATATTGAGGTTATTATTGTGCATTTAGCAACTGCAATTCGACTAAAAGAGTCTTCGGGTTTGAAATACATCACTAGGCCCCAAAAGTAGAGCTCCGGAACTCTGTCCCTCGCGAAAGAGAGCTTTGAAATGAGATCAATATTTTTCCACCACCTACAAAGATCACAGAGCTCTTTCTTGTACAAATTTTGCAAGTAATTAAAATCCAATATGGCTAATTCAAGAATCACTTTGTTGTGTGAGGAATCTCTTTCATAGAAAGAAATGTATTTCCGCACTTCTATCCTTGAAAAAACTCGATGAAGGGGCTGCTCTAAAGCTCGTTTCACTTGTTCTTGAAGGGGACATTTTAATGTGGGTACTAAAACATTAAGATGATGTGTTGTAAAAGCTAATCCCTCTTCCAAAATATCTTCTCCATGAATCCTCACTTGTGATGCTTCGAATAAGCTCAACAATCCTTTCACATCTCTGCTAAGTATCTCATCGAACTTCCCATCTTTATCCGTAAATTTGTTGAACACACCTGTATGTTAACAAATTGTATATTAGGTTTGTAAACAAGTATGTACTGCCTCCGTCCGAAAAAATGAGCTCATTTGGAGTTAGCCGAAGATACTAAGAAAAATAAATATTTTATTAAAAAAATGGAAAAAGTAAAATGTTAATTGAGATATTTTGGAAAATTTAGTTAGTAATTAAAAAGAATGAAGAGAGAATGTAATAAAGTCAGTGTATTTGTTGTAAATAAGTGTTGAATGAAATGTTAAATTTCAATTGACTTTCTTATTTTTCCAAATATAGTAATGGAGGTAAATTTAACGGGCGATCGCGGACAGAGGTAGTATCAAAGTTGGCAAAATATAAGAAAATAAACAATAGTCATTATTTGTTGAAGTACTCAAAGAAACACGATGGTGGTGTTGTCTAAGAATTCGAAATCTTAGAGCAGAAATGTATAAATCATGATGTTCCGAGTGATTGCTAATGCTTTCGAGCTGCTCCTCTATTTCATGCTTAAAGTGATACGCCAATCCTAAACGCTCCAGGGTATCGATTAATATTAACTTATCATTCAGTGCATTACTTCCTCCTGCAATGATCATTTCTCTAACTTTTTCCTTGAGAGATTCCACTGCTTTGGAACGCTTTTCTTGTGCCTAAAATGCCAAAATAAATCGAACTTCACTGTTGTTAGAAATTTTAGGGAAAAATAATGAGATTGTCTTAATTGATCATCATCAAAATAAGGGCTTATATATAGGCGATACAAAACAGAGATAAAGTCAAATTTAAGTAATCTAGATCAAATCTAAATATAAATCTACCTAATATCTAAAATATCTCAACAACTACAAATATATACAAATTACAATCACTCATATGTATATATATAGAGAGAGAGAGAGAGCTACATAGACAGAAACATAGAGAGTGAAGGAGACAAACATAATCATACAACAGACCTTAACATCGAAAGAGAATGAAGTGAAAGTATCAGCCCAGATACTTGGTGCAAATTTTTCGACTGGAAGTCTTCGCAGGTGGATATCATATGAAGGATAAGTTGCCTCTACAAATTTTCCGGCCATTGTAAAGCAATATTCTGTCTAAGGCGTGGTGGTTGTGATGATCGGTATCATTTTTATAGGCACATAGCTAGGAAGGCTGTGGAAAATCTATAGAATCCCGGATATTTTGTCCGTTTTACTGTAGACACAAGAATTTAGAAAGGGTATAATTAGTAAATAATTAAAAATATATTAGTAAAAATAATTATTGTATAAGGCCATCTCCAACCCTCCACTCTTTGTCGTTGCTAATTTTACTCTAAAAAGTATATTCTCTGTATATTTCTCTTTTATATTATTTTATATAATTTTTCATATTTATAAATTACACCCTAACTTTAATTTATTTTTACATTAGATCCATACACATATAATTTATATTTTATTTAAAAATTACATATATAAAAATTAATATTTATAATTAATAACAATTACAAATAAAATTAAACATTATTTTTAAAAAAATTAAAATTATATCACTTTTCAAACAGTAAAATTATATATCAATTTAAAAAATAAAATTATACATTATTTTTTTAAAAAATAAAATTATATATTACTTTCCAAAAACTAAAATTATATCACTTTTAAAAAATAAAATTATACATTATTTTTCAAAAAAAATAAAATCACATACAATTTTTTAAAATATAAAATTATATATTATCTACTAAAAAAAATTAAAATTACACAATACACCCAAAAATACCAAAAATATAAAAAATACCACAAAAAACTCCACTCCATTAACACTGTGTATATCTGCAAAAATTGGGGGAATTTAGGGATTGGTTGGAGCCCCTCCCCTCTATTTTTTGTACAACACACTGCATAGGTTGAAGATGATCTAATAAATAATAATATTGCATACTTATGACATAGAGGTCGCTTTTTTAACAATATAGATTTAAAAATATATACCTTTGATTACTTAGATTTTGATTTTGGTTTTCCGTTTATATTTAAAGAAAGTTGAATGTGATATTTTATAAATAATAATAATAATAATAATAATATATTTGTATAAAAAATATAGTAAGAAAAACTAAGAAGTACACAAGACTATAATTTCACGTGTAAGAAATTAATTACGAAATAAAATAAAAAAATAAAAAAAATCAAAGGCTTGATTTTTTTCTAGATTTTTTTTGAATATCTTAATCATCTCAAATATTTAATTTCTTTTATTTTCACATCTAACTAACTATTTAAAAATTTAAAGAAATAAATAAATCATCAACTAAAAGTGTACCGATACCTTAATTAGTTGAAAAATATGTGGACGGGAAGTGCATTGCATTGCATTTCTTGCCTGCAGAAAAAAGTAGTTGAAGGCTTAATTACCCATTCGTTTCATTGAGTAAATAAACCATCGATGAACTGTGTTAGTTAGTTAGTCCTTTCCGCAGCCCAATTTATTTGTTTTGATTTGAAATTGGAACGATGATTTTGAGTTTTGATTTAGATAATATTTTAATGTGATAATTTTGTTAGAAAAAATAATTTATTTTTATTAAAAATTAAACATAATGATTATTTAAAAAATTATTTGAAATAAAAAACAAACACACACTGATTTTTTTTTATTATTTCTTTTTCTCACAGTTTTGATCAACTAAAGAAAACAATTGCAAACATTGCCACAAAAAACTTTTGCTCATCCATCACACGGTCTACTTTTTGGAAGATTACCGGTGTTGAGATATTTTTAGATATTTAATTTTAAATTTAGTAGATTTATATTTATATTTGATCTTATCTATTACTTAGATTTGAGTCTATCAAATATGTTTTGTATTGCCTATATATAGCTCATTATTTTGATGATCAATAACACAATTTCATTATTTTTCTCTAAAATTTCTAGTATCAGAGCCTATTTTTTTTCCTTCTGTAGATATAGTCTATCAACTCGGGTTTCTCCGGGTACATTCAACCTGGGATGTACTCGGAGGTCTCCCAATTTTAAAATTTTTTATATAGTTTCTAGCATTTTCTTTTTCTAATTTTGATTTTGTCTTGAGTTTTGATTTTATCTACAATTGAAGTCATGTTTGCGCATCTGTCTACGACCGTCTTGCTGCGTTTCTCCAGAGTTATGTTTCTGATTGCAATGGGAGTCCCATTATTTCCGACTTTGTAGAGAGTACTCTCATCGTTTTCGGTTCCAGTAGAAAGTCATGTCGTTTTCGGCTCCAGAGTCATGTCGTATTCGACTCTAATTCAATTTAGAGCATTGTTTATGACTTTTTGACCCAAATGTGTGTATATATATCACATCTCCAACCCTTCATATACATATATAAATTTTCTATAGAGTAAGTTTAATAATAGTAAAAATTTACATATTTAATATGATATTTTGCATAAAGAAAATAAATATATAATATGGTATTTTTTAAAATATATATATATATTATGAATAGTATCATAACTCTTAAAATTGTATATAAACAAAAGCCTATATATTTCATCCTGACCCATTGGACGAAGCTGTTCTTAATTATTCATCATGTCCCCTGGATTTTTCCTTAGTTTTTTCAGTACTTTGCTCACATGGGATTTGGCAATATGTCTTAATTATCCACACATCAATGTCTAAATTTAATCCTTGCCTTTGATCGATATTGATGTCTTGATGCTACTTTAATTTGCATCAGTCGATCGATGGTCGACAGATCAATCAAGATTTTATGTCAAGTGGGACACAAAAATTTATTGTAACATAACAATTATAGTATAAATGGCTGTCTATTTGTCTTTTATAGTTTTGTGTAAATTGACTATCTTGTTCCCACTGTCGTATCTGATGGTATTTCATTTACTCAGATGAATTAGTTGCTTTCCTCTTCGATTTTCACTTACTCAATGGATACGTTGCTTCTTTTCTCTTTTTGTTTCTTTATGTTTCATCCTGAAAATCTTCACACATTTCTAACCTATTGAAAAAAATTTATACGGCGAAAATATCAAATAATTTTCGAAAAATAAAATTCGATATCAAAATAATTTATCGAAATAAATTCGAAAGTCACGACAATTTTATCGAAATAAATTCGATAATCTCATTAATTTTATCGAAATAAATTCGATAATTAATAATAATTTATCGAAATAAATTCGATAATCACGTCGAGTCGAGGTAGAACCTCTTTCCGTAAAAACGAATACGCCCCGGTAGTGCTTCCAGTTCGTGGCGCAACGTTCTCAAAGATAAAACGACGTCATCTCCGAATTAGGTGGCACCCCAATATTTCGGAGCTCCGAAGAACTAAAATGAGGGGACTTGAGCTATGTTGGAGACTTAATGTAAGTGGAAGTGATCAGCAGAATATTGACCGGCAACTCGCCAAAAATATTTTCGAAAACTTAGAAAGGAAGAGAGAGAGAAGAGAGTTCTCTCTTGGTTTGGTGTGTTCAGATCGAGTGGTGGAGAGAGCCTTTTATAGGCGCCTTCATCAAGTGGGGTAATTAACACCCGAGTAGAAACCGCCGTGACCAACGACAATTAAATTTCAGTAACATCGGGTCATAAACACTAAACTTAATTCCGGTCATAAATGTATTATTTGAATTTTTTAATTTTAAATAATAATTTATCATAAATGCATGTAATAATAATTTTTTTATCAAAGACATGTGTGTGCACCTATGGCTTACCGGAATTTATATGTATAACCACACTATTAATAACCACCGTACTACTCACATGCATTTCAACCGAAATAATCGGTTTCGAAAATTATAATTTCATCGATTAATTTATTAACCGATATTACAACATAATCTTCCTTCATAGTCATGACCTTTGCTATAACCGGTGGCAGGATAAGCGTCCGAACTTTGGGAGGGGGAGCTGTCCAATTAGTCAGTTTTTTATGATTTCATTTTAGTTCTAATTTTTTCGAATTGTCAGTTTTTTTTTGTTCAAACCGACAATTCATCTTTTTAGAATAGTAATGAAAGATGAAAAAAAAAATTATAACATGAAATAAAATAAAATTCTACACTTAGAAAAAAATTCTTTCGAAACTGAAAGGGCAATTTTTTTAGGATATATAAAAATATAGATATTTACACTAATAATAAAAAAGAAGTTTTTTGGAGGCAATTTTTTTTTATTAATTAATAAAATATATTCTTTTTTAATATATTTGAAAAAAATAAAAATATATAAATTGAAAGAATATTAAAATTGATAGAATAAGTATATAAATAAGGGAAATATGCAAAATTTTTGTCGCATCTCAAATTATATTCACTATTTTCACTAACAATTATAAACATATTTTAAGGATTATGATGTCTATAAATAATAGACATTTTTTTTTATTTAATCTTAATAAAAATAAATATTTATTGCTGATTCAATTTAAGTTTTATAAATTTTTATTATATAATTATATTTAATTTAAATGATACTCCCTCCGTCCCACATACTATGTCCACGTTGCCGTTCTGTCCGTCCCACCTACCATGTCACTTTCCTTTTTTTAATAATAATTATACATTTTAATCTCATTTTAAACTTTTTAATTTTATTTTTTTTAAATTTTAATTAAACTAATTAGTTATCTTACTCTTAATTTATAATTATTTATATTATAGGATAATTATTTTCACTAATACATTTTTAATTATCTACTAATTACACCATGCTAATATAGTGTGTCTACAGTGTAGCAGAGATGGTACTTGGGACGGAGGTAGTATTATATTATCTAATATACTAACATTTTTTATAATTAATTTTTTTAGTTTAAATTTAATTAAACTATTTATTAAATTTATTATTTTAATTATTTTTACAATTCGATAATTTAATCAATTATTATTTATATAATTTTTAACGTAATAAATAAATAAATAATATATATCTAGATAAAATTAAAATTAATTTCTTTTAAATAAAATTAAAATTTTAAAAAATTAGAAAGTATATAAACAAATTATTAAAAATAAATAATATAAATTGGAGGTTAAAACTAGCGGTTTGAACCATTTGATCAAGTTTATATTAAATTAAA